GTACTATATTGGGCAATATTCAAAATATGACTTCTAAAAGAACCATGATTTCTGACTTAACAATTCTTGATAAGAAAGACAAAACAGTCTTGATAGAAGACATTGCAATACCTGAAAACAGCAAAACAGAAGAGAAAGAACTTTAGAAAAATCACAAAATATAAAAACCCACAAACATAAATAGAATGACTGTAGCAAAATAAAATATAGATAGTACTACTAGTAATAAGCCTCTTAGGTTCAATCACCAATTAAACACAATCAGAATTGACAAAATCACTATCAGCCAATTGCAAAATACACCTTTGCTTGGAACAACTTACATCCTGTGGCAATACTTTTTACACCATCAAACTACAACAGGGGTGCCAAACTCGCATAGACACGGTGGCATCAGGTGACATATTAGGACTTTTCCCCCCTTCACTAAACCAGGCATGGGCATGGTTAGCACGTGATGCATGAGGCCCGTGGGCCACGAGTTTGACAGCCCTGAACTACAACATCTGCCTATCACAGGTTCTTGGGAAAGCCTCAATATGTGGGCAAAAATAACAGATTCAGTTTAAACATGGGGTTGACTATGTGATCAACCATTAAACAATGAATAAACTAAATGTAATAAAAATGAGCATGTTAAATATTGTGGGATTTGTGAATACAAACTGATAAATCTTGGCACATAACACACCAAATTTAAATGTGGTTGGGAAAAAAAAGGATGGATAAATTGAGGTGGCAATGCTAGGGAGGATAGTAAAATAGACGAAAAAGAATTGGAGAAGATCATGAAGTATTAAGATCTGAAAATCAAAGTTGAAAGTTTTTGGCATAAATTGGTTCAGTAGTTCTCACTGGATGCCGTTCCAAAAAAATCTTGCATGGAATTTTAAAAAATCTGTGCATTGACAAAATTTCCATCTCTAAATTACTAAAGTCCACACTACTTGGATCCACACATATACTACGCTGACATGTAACAACATTCTAGATTCTTGGGAAAAACTCAATGAGAATGAAGGTAAATACTAAAGAACTGGCAGGCTGTGACTTTATATAGTTGTGAACAGAAAATAATAATGAAGATAATGAAAAAGCTTAGCTCTGCCTTGATGTGGCTCCTTTTACTATGCACTTTGTTTTATGGAGGTGAAGAGACAATGAGATTCTCCTAAATGAGATGCTTTGTGTTGCTTTAAAGTCTTAGCCAGCAGTTCAAATAGCTTGGAAGAGGTTCTATATATAAATCGCACGTCTGCAGAAATCTCTTCTAGCTAGTGGAATTACTAAAGGTCAGAGCAGGCAAAGAGAAACAGCTTTCAAGTGGTGCTTCACTTGAACCTTCAACAAAGGAAAGCATCCTTCAAAGATCTGTGGAGTACTGCTTGTAATGATTGGGTATTAGAACTGTCAATCAAAGCATGGCAACACAGGGCACCTCATCCAGTTTATATTCCAGAGCAAGAAAGCAAACTCAGGAGAAAGGGATTTAAGAGGTTTTGGTAGATAGACAGGTTTGACAGAAACCTGGAATCCTAGCCCTAAGACAACTTACATCTGTCAAAGTGACAGAGTTATAAATAGATATTTATTTCCAGGGAAGGTAATTAATAACCTTTGGACACATTGTGAAAGTACTTGTTTACAACCAATTTTAAGTTATTTAATACATGTTAATTGATTCCTTGTTTAAGCATTATTAAAGTGACTGCTGTTGTATATCTTCCCTGCTTTTCATCTAGTTATGTAACCTTGTAATGTTTATACCTATTTACTACATTGTAGAAAAATGAACTCAAATTCTAGGGTTTGGTGGTGACAGCAAAAGCAACAGATCCTTTAGGGGTCTCAGGGTTATGCTTTAATGCTTTAAGTAAAAAAGAAAAATAAGAGGACTTTCAAGACAAAGGAGGCTTATGTCTGTTTATGGCTAGAATTCTTTTATATAATATGGGGATTTCATACCAGTCCATATATCTGGATTTTCACTTTGTGCTTAGCATTCACTGGGGGATCTTTTGAAAGGGATTCTAAGGATTTTTCCTAATTAGTTTTTCCTTCTGTGTGTTTTGGACTTTGGACTTTCCCCAAACTTGTAGATAATGTCCTCCTGAACATGGATGTCCCTATCTTAGTACATGAATATTGCAATCTTAGATAGTATGATTTTCATTCTATCTATTGTATTTAGTTTTTTTTAATGAGCTTGTTATTAGTTTCATGCTTCTATTACTGTTTCTGTGCACTGTGTCTTTCAGTTGGTTTATGTTTTTTTTCCCTTGAGAAACCGTATTGAAGAATATAAAAGCATAAATGTTGTTAAGTAGAAGGAGAAATGGAATAAGGAAAGTATTTTTGAGATAGAATTAAAAATTGGAGTAGTGGATGAGAACACATATCTGAAAAGGTATTGGAGTCTTGTAGTCACCCACCAGACACAAGAGTAGGACATACAAAGAAATATCCTGGTCCTAACTGCTTAAATTAGGAACTGCAATTTATATTGGGTTTAGAGATTATTCATTAATGAAAATGAAATAATCTCATAGTCAAGTGTTTGAAAGAATCAGCATGGTAGCCCTATTAATATTGGCAGAGCAATGCCATTTACATCAAAATTCACAGAAACTCTTATGAAAGAAAATTAATGTGTTCCTGAAACTTTCACTAACACAATTCCAAACTTTTCACAGTAATGTGTTCTTGTAATATATCAGCCTTCTGTACTGAAAATAGGTAAATCTCATGATATTCCATTTTTGACCAAACTGTGTTACAAAAAAAAACCACCTGCATATATGAATATTAATTGCAATATTAATTGCATGATACATTGCAGTTGTAATCAGGAAATGGTTATATAAAAATATTATAAACTTTTAGTAATTCGTCCCAAAGTAAGGTATTGTTTTTGGCTTTGGATTCTTCAGTATGCACACTTTTTCTATTCCATTTTTCCTATTTATTTCATGATATACATGAGTTCCAAATGGAAAGAAAGATCATCATTATGAACATGGTTTAATGCTAAGGATATAACAAAGAAGTAAGTTAATGAAATAATCAGCTCAGGGAACTGTTTAATGCCAGTGCTCTCCACCACACAATTACAGCATTTCTATCCCAGAATATTACTAGTACCACCAATCACTCTGCAAACAAGGATTATGGGGAGTACTCTGAGTACTATATCATGATTTCTAGAAAGCATAATTTTAACATTAAAATGAAAGTAGGAAACATTTATGATTATGTCTGGCTCTAATTATTCACCCTCCTATAGCAACAGAGTAAAGCTCTTATCTCTAGTTTTCCAAGTCAACTGCCTGGAAAAGGCACATTAGAGATGAGCACCAGTTTCATGCCAATTGATTTTTGACTCAAGTATGGGCAAATAGCAGCACAGTATTTGCTTCAAAAATATTTTGGAACATCTATTTGGGACTTCAGTGTGTGCAAGCGCAGCACTTCCCTACAATTAATTAAAGCCATCCAATGTTTCCCCAGACTTCTGTGTGAGCTTTAAAAAAAGGTGCCAGCCCAGCCAAAAAATCTGCCTGCTTTAATGAATAGCAGAGAACTGCTGTGCTTCTGCTAATGTAAGTTTTGAATCCTTTCTCCAAGTAATTTTGGAAGCTTGCACAGACCTATTGAAGAGGACTTTAACTCAGCAGTAGAGAAAGATTCCTATGGTATGTAAGTTTCAGTTTTAGAAAGTTGCATGGTATTTTCTAAAAGTTAAAGTACTTTCTCCTGGATTTCTAAAATGGATTAATAATATAGACTAAAACTTAAAGGAAAAAAAAGATTTAAAACAGCTTGGGTTTACTTGATTTCAGATAATATACTATATGTTGGTCTTGTGAATAAGGCCTCAGTCTAGAAAGCAGGTAACCGTTAGTCATGAAAGCCAGCTGGGTAATTTTGGGCCAGTTTCTTTCTCTCAGCCCAACCCACCTCACAGGATTGTTGTTATTGTTGTGGGGAAAATAGGAGGAAGAAGGCATGTTGGATATGTTTGCTGCTCTGGATTGTTTGTAAAAATAATAAAGGCTGGATGCAAATAAATATCCCCCCCAAAAAACTGCAGAAGAAAAAAAGGACCACAATATTGTGTGTTTCAGCTGGCTTCTTTACCCTCCTTCTACACCACTTTCAGCTGATTTCTATACCACCACAATTTTGTGGCTTTTTTCTTGGTTTTAATAAAGATTTTGCTTGGTTGTGGATTAGATTAGATAGATGGATGGATGGGATGATCTTGTGTCCTTTTTAACACCTGCACCCAAGGATCCTATTGTATAAGAGATAACTTTATATCTTATGAAGTTAAAAATAATGTCATGTTTTTCTACACCTGCATTTCATTTTACAATCCTGTAACAGTTCTGAAGTCTTTCTTAACGGCATCTTCCTCCTTCCCCGGGCTGGAGATCTGCTTATTGTTTTGTTATATACTCAAGCCTACTACATAAAGGTTAAGAAACTGCGTTTCACACACACCCACACAGACATCCTTCTAACCAATTTAAGGAGAGAAGCCAGAGAGAAGCAGAGCGAAGAAATCTCCTCAGACCCATCCAAGGTGGGACGGGGAGCCCTTTGAGAACGGGAAATCAACTTTTTTTTTTTTTTTTTTGCCTTGTTCGGGGTGACGGCAGGACAGAGAAGGGGAGAAGCGAGAGAGGACCCAGTTTTAACGACGCCGAGCCAAGCTTTTCCGGAGCCGAGTTCACCTCAAACCGACGACCGCAAGTTAAGAGGTCGTCTGAAGCGCGCCAAACTTCGCCCAGAAAGCGAGGAAAGGGAATCAAGAAAGCGGAGCCAGCTCGGGCGCGAGCCGACCGAGCGAGCGAGCGAGCGAAGGAGAGAAGGCGGGCGCGCGGGGGCGCGCGGGAGCACCAGCGCGCGCTCCCTCAACGTCGCCTCCTTTCCCTCGGCCCCGCCCCGCTTTCGCCCTCGACAAAGCGTCTGCCAAACTCCGCCTCCGCTCCCAGCCGCTTCCTCCGGCGCCCAGGCCCGAGACTCTTCCCTCCGCCGGGCTTCCAACTCCAGCAGCTTCGGATTGGCCGAGGGGCTTGACAGGAGGCGGAGCGTGAAGTAACCGGCGCTGCCCGCCCTCCGCTATAAGCCTCTTTGCAGCTTTCCCACTCAAGCTCCCTCGCGCTCCTGTTTCCTGCGTGTCCTTGTAACAACCGAAGGATGAAAACAGACGCGCCGGGGAAATCTGCTCCAAACAGGCACAACTGTCGTGTGAAAACGCACAGGCTCTACCGTCCGTAGCCGTCTCTTCTTCCTCCACCTCCTCCTCCTCCTCTGCTTCTTTTCGGTAGCTGGGCTTTTTTTTTTTTTCCTTCCTTCTTCTTCCTTCCTTCCAAAAAGCGCAACTCCTCTCCTCCGCCTTTCCTCCTTTTCGTCTGATTTGTTTCTTTCTTTCTTTATTTTTTCCCCCTCACAACCACCCATCCGACAACAAGTCTCCTTCCCCCGCCGCCTCCACTGCCGCCGACGCCGCCGCTGCCGCTCTCCAGGCCGCGGGAATCACAAAAGAAAGCTTCGCAAGTCGGGTTGGTTTACGGACTTGAAAAGCCCGGGCAGAAGGGACCGAGCGAGCGCGGAGAGGCCGGGAGAAGGAGCGGGGAAAGACCCCGCTCGAATCCAACGAGTCGCTCAGAGACACTTTTTGAGAGCTGAGGCGAGAGAGGGAGAGAGAGAGACGGAGAGATTGTAATCCTCTGACGAAATAGAAAGGGAAAAAAGAGAGGGAAGAAGAAGAAGAAGAAAAGAAAGTTAAAAGCAGCGGGAAGAGAAAAAAAAAGAAAAAGAAGAAGAAGAGCACCTTGTGGGAGGAATGGTTGCCGCAGCGGGACAGGCTCTCCACAGCCGCCGTCTTCGCTCTTGCTGAGGAGGGGATTTAAGTTGAGAGCTACATGACCGCGCCGAGCGGGGACTCACCAGCACCATGCGAGGTAAAGGGCGGGACGGTGTCCTCGGTTTGGCCCGGGAAGGAGGGAGGGAGGGAGGGAGGGAGGGAGCCAAGGGCCGGGCGAGAAGGGCGGCGGGTCGAGCCAACCTTTAGAACTGCTTCTGAAAGGAACTGGAGAAGGATTAGAGATGGGGAGGCAGTGGATGCCGCCAGGTTATCAGAAAGTTCTCTCCTTTTGTTTTTTCTTTTTCTTTTTTTTTTTTTGGCAGATATGGTCTATGTCTTGTCTACCGTTTCCCTCCTACCCCCACGCCTTCTCTGGTGGTTTTTTCTTTTTTCGGGGGAGGGGGGGTTGAAGATGTCTTTGAAGGTCCCTCTCCTTTCTACAAAAAACACTCAGCAGGCAGAAGTTTTGCTACTTTGCTGACTTCTGAGCAAAGGCTGGTGAGCAGAGATGCTCCCTTTGAATGGGAGTGGGAAATTTGAGAGGGAGAAAGGTAGTGGTTGCTAGGCCTGGAGGAGGAGGAGGAGGAGGAGGAGGAGGAGGAGGAGGAGGAGGAGGAGGAGGAGGAGGAACTACTTAGAAATGTATAGTTTTTACTGAAAACTTAGACCAGCCTATCCCAAATTGGTATGCCATCCTTGGACTATAACCCAATGAAGGCAACCAAGTTAGGTTAAACAAAGTGTATATGGCCTGTAAGCAGTAAGAAGGAAAGGACTCTGGAGAGAGGTGGGTCTAGACTACTAATTTGTCTAAAGGATGCTTGGCAAGCAGGATTGGAAGTAAAGCTGGGCAGCAAGGCTTCTTTTTAGGCAAGTTTCTTCCATTCCACTCTCCCAAATACTTTAAACGCAACATACATTTTCCTAGAGGAAATGCAAACTGGCAATGGTGGAGTTGTGGTCTGGCACTCACCAGAACTGAAGAAAAAGTTCTGATGGAATCAGCTGCAGTGTGCTATGGATCAGCTCACTCTTTTCAAGTGTGCACAGCTTTGGATAATATTCAATCATTTTAACTCCTGGTCCATCCAGACACACATTTGTCTTTTTGCATCCAATTTCTATCCTTTGTATGCTTATTCTATTTTTTTTTTCATGGCTCCATGATCCAATGATCAGTCAAAGGCACTCTTTGTGGCTTTGCAGGCTTGTTGTACAGTATGCCAAATTTGGACTGTTGAAGATGACTTCAGGGGGTTCCTAAAATATTTGGAGGAAAGGCTGAGCTGTCTGCAAGTGGCAAACCTACTTCACCACCAGCAGCAGCAGTATACACACCTGTCATTCTTCCCAGCTTCTGACTTCCAAATATATTCCTTGAACATCAACTTTTCTGCTGGCCTTGAGATAATTCTCACTGATTCAAGTCTCTGAATATGGTACTTATCAGATTTAAGCATGTTTCCCTGTGGACTGATTAGAGTATGATACATTGAATAGCAAGGGAGGGCTGGAGCAGAGAAAGACAGAGAATCCAAAGATAGCATATTGATCATAATTGACAGAGCACTCCTATCATTACAGTACTTCTCAAATCCCAAATGGACATTGGATGAGCTCTCCACCCTGTCACTCTCAAATAATTCACTTCCTCAACAGAATATAAATCCAGAGCCTCATTCATTCCTTCAACGAGTTCTCTCTTATTGTGTCTCCTCATCCCATTGCCCCGTCCAGAGGAAATTTCTCGCGGATCTCTGGTATAAAGAGGCTTTGGCGTTGTTTTCAGGTTAAATTGCACAATCCTGTTGAAATTGGCCTCCCGCTTATCCAGTGGTTGGTGGTAGATCGGGCTGTTTGGGTTGGAGGGACGCTCCTAGACCGCTCTGTTTCCCTGAAGGCGCGCGTCTACTTTTAAGCCTCGCAAGTTTCCACATTTATGCAGATCTCGTTTCCAATCGCCATTCATTAAAAGAACGGGACTGGAAGCATAAAAGGCCTTTAATTTTTTTTTAAGACCGTTATTTGTAGCCCCACCTCCCATCCCCTTCGTTTAAAAAAAAACAACAGATTAAATACAGGTGAACTTTCTTCTCTGACGGCAGGTACTTTCCTGCTTGGTTAACACGACAGATAAAAGACAGGCGTTCACTTAAATGACTGGAATAATTCTGAGGTTAAGAGAAGAAATTACGGAGGACGAAGACGATCCTGATAATTAGGATATCCTATTGTCACTTTCTTAAAGCATTTGACGTGCAGTTAAAGTAGAAAATACTTGGTGGGTGTGTTTCCACAAAGCAAGCACGGAGTTTTTCTACTTGTTGACCCCTTCCCCATCTAAAACAGACGGAGATCCTGGTCAAAACAACCGAGTCCTTTCTAAATTGGAGAATAAATGCTGAGAAAAGTAGTGCAGAGAGACTTGTAATACTTGTAGGTTCCAGTGACAGGGAAGGGGTGGCTGTAAAACGACTCAGCGGTCTAGAGTGTCCTTATTCAGGGGTCTAATAAAGGGATGCGCGGCTTCTGCCGGACTATTGCTAGGATTTGGAGAGGGACAGCAAGAATCTGACCTCAGAACTTCAACGCTCGGGTATTTGGGCCGAAACTAGGCTTTTAAGTTCTTAGATTGATGAAGCTGCTGTTCCTAAACTATAAGAACCCTGCCCGATCTTGAAATTCCTCCGCCGTAACTGCTGAAAAGATAAGAAATATACACCCGCTCCAAGCGCTTTTCTATGCAGTCAGCGTCCGCTTTGCCTTTGACCCCTGGAAAGGGGTCTAAAAATGGTTGGTACAGAAGAGGCCATAAAATTAGGCCTCCAATTTGACAGGGTCTGTCAAATAAACCGAACACTACTTTACTACCAGTGAACTCAACCGCATTCGATGAAATTTACTTCGAAGGAGACGTTGGTAGTACCACCCCTCTGTCGTGCAGGTTTACTTGGGAATAGCTCCCATAGAGTTCGCTCGCGGTTAAGATTCTGTAAAGATGGCTAAGCACGCCTTTTGGAAATGGATCTCTTTGGTTGGCTGGGGGGAGGGTTACTTCTAAATCCAACCCTGCGCTAATCAGTTGCGTCTGATTGGTCCAGGTGAGATAGGGACAAGATTCTGCTGAAGAAGTAGCACTAATGTGCGGATGGGCAGGTGAGCGAAAAAGCATAGGATCAAGATTGCCCAAAGTGTTTGGCATACTGCTGGTTCTGGATAAAACAGCTCCTCCACGAGACTCTTCTCTGGAACCTTTTAAGGCACAGCTGGTTGGGTTATATTGTTCTCATCAACGGTTGGTACCCAGAAGTGGGGTTACACATACCGATCGGAGCAGAAGTGGCCTCGGGCTATATGGCAGGGCTGTGCTTGACCGGACTCGCAAGTTGTAGGGGACCAGTTGGGCGAATTCGGAAGTCATCTGCGAAAGCTTCGTTTCGCTTATCTGCTCTGCGGCTGCCTCTGCTTCGGGTTGGCCTCGGCCTTTGTCATGTGCTCCACTGACCTACTTCTCTCGGCTGAGAAAATAAGTCCAAAGACCAGAGCAGGACCACCCCAGCCTCCAGCGCTTGACGGGCGGAGATTATTCAGCGAAAGCTGTCTGAATCTGCTCTTCGTTCTTATCCCGCGAAGTCTAAGCGCCCTGTGGACCAGCGATCCGGCTTTCCTATAGGACAAGCACAGACCTAATTTGTGTATTTCATTTAAAAAAAAAAAAGAAAAGTTAATTTGAAAATAAATTGGCATCCTTCATTTAAATATTTGACCTCATTTCTAGCTCCCATCTAGTTACATTGTGTAATAATTGTGTATAGTACTTTGCATTTTCCAATTCATCAGATCGTCTCAGTTTCCGTATGCTACGTGGCTAATTCGATTTAGAAACCTCATCAATTCAGGTGCTCGTGTTCTTATAAAACGGGCTGATTTTTTCCTGAGAGCCTCTCCTGTTACTGTTAAAGAAGCAATTGGCACAGTTGGCAACTCCTGCTTGAAGGCCAGGCCGGAAGTAATGGAAAGAGTGCGCCCTTTGCAAATGGAATGAGACTGGCAATTCTATGGCGAATTAGGAAATAAGTTCCAATGATTTCAGCAGCATTTATCTCGGAGGAAGTAGCAAAACGCTTTCCAACGTCCTTAACCGGCTTTCCTTTGAAATCAATAAACTGGATAGGCATGATGTCTTAGTCTATGTTGATCTCAGCTGTGTAATTAAGATAGCCATCAAACGTCTCCATCTTACCTGTCTATAGTCTTTTACCACTTCAATATAAACTCCTGGACGACGGAAATATCTCCTTGACTCACTTGATTCTCACAGCCCAGTCACGCCAGATCCATTTCTTTGTAAACCTTTAAAAGTCCGGTTAGGTCGATCCTGCCGCTTGTCACGCATTTCTCTTGCTTGTCGTTTTTAATATTGTATTATGAAGGATGAAATGCGGGGAAGGCCACAGGACTCGACAGCGACCCGCACTGGAAATCAACCAGCCCCTCCTCATTTTCTGGGATCCTGCCTCTCCCCACCCCAAATTTGGCAGCATTTGGCAGAACTTTTCTCTTAAGGGAACTGCATTCTAGGGGCGTTTAGCTTTGGTAGATTTGAGGAGCGGATACGTCGGGCCACACCGGCACTATTTTAGACTAAATAGGGACCGAGAAGCAGATCTCTTATTGAGTTCCCTCTTGCTGGGCCGGCACCTCAAAATGCCTCCCCATCTTGTTTTTAAAAATCAGCTGCGGGGTGTCCCCGATCTTCAGTCGGGCCAGTCTTTAGCGCTAGTGTTTCGTTCGATGGGGAACAGACGTTGGTTCTTTGAATTTTAATCTCCCCGTTTTTTAAAAAGTGTTGGTTCCGAAGAGGAAAGTCCCGGGCAATCGATAGAGTATTGGCTTTCAGCAGAACCAAACCACGACCTTCCAAAGTTAGGGCAAAACTTCTGCTCAAATAAACGAAGCTGGGAAGTTTCAGTATTTATTAAGCTGCTTTTCTTTTCTTTTGGAAGTATAATTGCGACTTTAATAATACACAGAACTTTTCTGAAACTTTTTCAGAATCTTTTCCATCTCCCAAATCCCAAACTTCGCACAGTTTAC